AAAAACAGACAAGCAAAAAGATGACATAATCACCAGCCTAAGTGAAAAATTCCGAAAGGAACTGGAAGCAAACAAGAACGAAACAGAAGAAATCAGAGAAGAAATGAAGGACGTAAAAACAAATCTGGAAAATATGGAAAATATTGTCGGACGAAATATGATGGCAATGGAGCATTAATTGAAGAGTGAGTTAAAAAAATCTGTGGAATATATAGAAGATAGGATGGAGCACAAAATGAAGCAATTCGAAAAGATGATGAGAACTGCAGCAACAACCAGTCCATATAATGTGGTGTCGACCCCCAGAATAGTTCAACCACCCACCTATGATGGTCAGACACCTTGGTCATCGTACAAACAGCAGTTTAAGGCGGCAGCGACGGCGAATCTGTGGGAAGAAGAACAGAAAGCTACAGCTTTGGTAATAGCCTTGCGAGGCGTAGCTCTAGAGATACTTCAAACTCTGTCTGAAGAAGATAGAAACAGATATAGTGCCCTAACTGCTGCTCTGGAATTTCGATTTGGGTATGAACATCTGAGACAGATTTTTGCAGCTCAAGTGAAGACAAGAACCCAGAAAGTTGGAGAGTGCCTTCAAGAATTTGAAGCAGATGTCAAGAGACTGGTACGTCTTGCATACACCAACGCACTACCAACTTTTCAGGAGACGCTTGGGATAAAAACCTTCGTAAATGGCATTCGCGACGGTGAAGTTAAGAAGGTTCTACAACCATCAAAGTACCAGACATCATCGGAGGCCTTGATTCGTGTGCTGGAAGTGGAGGCGGCGTACAATTCTTCAAGAACCTGACACAAGGTCAGAGTGGCAGAATTAGAGACGGAAAAAAACAACAAGTTAGAAAAGCTGTTGGAAAAGTTCTCACAGCAAATAATAAATATAGTCCAACTCTACCGGGGAAGATTAATGGAATTCCCGCAGCAATCACGATCGACACTGGCGCTGAGGTATCAATTACACGGTGTGGACTCGTGAGAGCTAAAGACCTAGCGACTTCATTCGAGACAATCAGATTGAAAACAGTGACTGGAGAGTCGGCCCCAATCATGGGCCAGGCAGAAGTAGAAATCCACATTGGTCAGCTGAGGATAAAACATCGCGCTGTCGTGGTTGGCATCGAAGATGACTTCATTCTGGGAATGGATTTGATTAACCGCCATGGATTGACGGTCGATCCAGGGTAGAAAGTCCTACGTCTTGGCAATGAAGAGTTTATCCTGAATCAAGGCAGTATTGAATACAGGCCTGTAAGATTGATCGTCTGCCAGAAAGTGGAAGTCAGAGGGAATGCAGAGACGATTGGGGAGGTTCTTGCCGTCTGTGAACCAGTCACGAAGATAATCCATCACAACGATGATCTTTCTGGTAACAGTCATGAAGGAATAAAAAGAAACTTTTTACAGAAACACAGTGAAATGTTTGCATCTGGGCAGTCCTCTGGGGACACAAACATAGTGCAACATCGGATAAACACTGGAGACGCGCAACCGATCCGTCAAGCTCCGCGAAGACGACCTTTGGCGAAACAAGAGGAAACCGAGGAAGTGGTACAAAAAATGTTAGACGAAAGCGTCATAGAGGTGTCAAATAGTCCATGATCTTCGCCTGTAGTGCTACTCACCAAAAAAGACGGATCGACGAGATTCTGCGTAGACTACAGGAAATTAAACGATGTAACCAAGAAGGACAGTAACCCGCTTCCACCAATTGATGACACGCTCACAATCCTATCAAGATCCGCCTGGTTTTCTACGTTAGACCTAAAAAGCGGCTACTGGCTTGTATCAATTTACCGTAATGCCTTTTGGACTATGTAACGCTCCGACTACTTTTGAAAGACTGATGGAGATGGTATTACGAGGGTTAACATGGAAAACATGTTTGGTTTATTTAGACCACATCATGGTAATGGGAAAGACATTTGAGGAGTACTTGACCAACTTGAAAGAAGTCTTTAGCCGAATGAAGGAGGCAAATTTGAAGTTGAACCCGAAGAAGTGCCTTCTCTTCCAAAAAGAAGTAGAATTTCTGGGGCACACTGTTTCGGCAAGCGGGATCAAGACTACGGAAACGAAGATCAAGGCGATTCGTGATTGGCCAACGCCCAGAGATAAACACGAAGTCCGGAGTTTCTTGGGATTGTGCACGTACTACAGAAGGTTTGTCAACGGGTTTGCTGACATTGCTGCTCTTCTGCACCGGCTGACGGATTTGAAGTCTCAATTCAATTGGACTGCTGAATGTGAAGCAGCCTTTAAGAGATTGAAGAACGCACTATGCTCTAGTCCTATTCTGTCATATCCTCGATCATCGGAAATGTTCACCTTAGACACGGACGCGAGCAACATCGGAATAGGTGCTGTATTGTCACAGGTGCGGGACAAGGAAGAAAAAGTCATCGAGTACTTACTTCAGCAGCGTACTTTCGAAACCCGAGAAGAACTACTTTGCTACGAGGAAGGAGTTGCTGGCGATTGTCAGGGCTGTCGAACACTTCCATAAGTATCTCTATGGATGCGAATTCCTGATTAGAACCGATCACGCAGCCCTCACATGGCTCCTTCAGATCAAGAATCCCGAAGGACAAGTGGCTAGATGGTTTGAACGACTCCAACAGTATCAGAATCAGTTGATGATAATGAGATGAAATTTTTGCTTCATAAACCTTCGATTAAAGTTAATGTGAAAAAGACAAAAGCTCAGCTATATCCACGAGAAAAACATATAAATTTTCACTCGAGGAAGGAACTTTTAGTCATCGTAAAGAACATGCACGATGTAATAGATTCAAACTTAGGTACTATCGACGACGGAAAATCTTGATTGCTCTTCCATTTAACACAGCTTTAAAAATTGTCCACAATTATGTGGGTACCTTTTCATTGGACTGTGAGGCTAAGACCATACGGGACTACCTTAGCTCAAAATTTCCTGGTAGGAACTTCGTGGTAGAGAAATTACTTAAACGCGATACAGCTAAAATTATCTCAATGAGGATAACCACCAATGAGGATCTTTTTTAAAAGTTATTGAATGAAGACCTGTGGTCTGCAGGAGTAAAAGTCAAGAAGTTTTATTTTTTTCGAAAAGTCGACAAAGTACAAATTAAGTCGTAACATGACTGCTTTTAATCAGATGTCTACCTTCTACCAGAACGTCAAGGGTTTCAACACTAAACTGCCTAATTTTTATTGTTAAATCTCGTGTGATGACTATTGTGTGACTGTCTTAACAGAAACATGGCTTTCCGAGGAAGTGAACAGCAATAAGTTATTTGATAACAGATATGTAGTATTTGGGACTGACCGGAACAACCAACAACAGTATGAAAAAACATGTCTGTAAAGAAAATCTTCTCTACAACTGAAATTTCGTTGCGCTGTAATTCTGTTGAGCAAATATTTGTTAAAATACCTTTTGATTCTTGCAATATTATGGTAGGAACTGTATATTTACCTCCTGATTCCGATATTTCTAAATATGTTAGTCATTCTGATACTGCGAGTACTATATGTGATCAGTTCGGTAACTGTGATATCTTATCATAATCTGGTTGTCTGAAGACGAAGTTACCGGTTTTGTTCCTTTTTCATTTTTAGGAATTTCTGACAAAATTATCTGTGATACTTTATTTGCCAGTGACCTTAAAATTATGATTAAGCAGGCCTACAAGAATCACATGTGTGCAATTGAAGATGAATTACCGGAGAATCTTAAGCATGTCTGGAGTTATATTCGTAAGAAGTCTTCAAATAACACATTACTTCTACTTATGAAGTTAGGCGATAAAATCTTATACACTAATTTAAATATTTCTCATCTTTTGGCGACTATTTCTCCTCCGCATATTGTGATAGAAGGGTACTGTCTTTTAACGTTAATTATGATTCCAATGTGAATCTAAGCAATATCTTCATTAGCTTCAGTGAAGTTGTTGACGATTTGTTAAAGTTAGATACGAATTGCCTTTCTAGTGCACACTGCTTACCCTCGGAAGTTCCACAAGGATCCATCCTTGGACCATTGTTACTTTCAATATATATCAATGACGTAGTAAACATTTTTCTTGTGACTTCGCTCTTTTTGCAGATGATCAAAAGATATTTCAAATCATTAGAAGTATTAGCAACATAGTAGCACTCCAGCGCGATTTAAATATGTTTTTTAAATTTGATGATAATTTAATGGGACTTAACCTTGAGAAATACATAGCCATATATTTCTCCCATAAATTATCACCTACTGTTTCACATTACTTTATCTGTGGCAAAGTTGTTAAAGTTGTGACCTTGTTAAAAATTTCTGAATATTTCTAGATAGTAGGTTAACAAACGTACTTCATTACGACTTTATTGTCTCATGTGACAATAATGTTTTGGGATGCATAAACAGGTACTGTCGAGAGTTCAAAATTATTCTAACCTTGACGTTTTGTTCTCAACTTTTGTTCGCTCTACCTTAGAATATGGGTCCATAATTTGGTTGTCTATTTATCAGGTCTATAAAGACCGAATCGAAGCTATGCAGAACAAATTTGTTACATTCCTGTGCTTGAGGATACCCTGTAATTTACGTAGTGATAAAGAGGTTTCCAAGATTTACGTAGGAGCGTAGGACTGAGTTTGCTGGAGACTAGACGCGAGTTTCTCAAAATTTGTTTTATGTTTAAAATTTTGAACAACACCTCTTAAATTCTGTTTTTTTTTAATGTTCCGCAGTATCCAGTGAGGTCAGTTCCTTTGTTTTATTTAAATTTTTATGCTACCTATTAATTATACATTACTAGCCATTTCTTTACAAAATTATCTTAGCTTCTAACATATTTTGCTAGGCTATGTAGTTATTGTCTGATAATTGATATTTATCAACTTTGACTACACTGCACAAAAGAAAACAGTTTTACATTTACTCATCAACAACATGTTTAATCAGTAATAAACTTTTTGTTGAATACGTTTTAACATTTGTTTCTTAATTTCAGCAACGGTTCAAGACTGAGTAGCGCCCGAGCTTTCTTACGCCCCGCCCGCAAACGCCCAAACCTGCACATCATGATCAACTCCACCGCAACAAAAATACTAATACGAAAAGACAGCCACCATAAAACCGTATCAGAAGTAGAATTCGTCTACAATAACCGCTTCTACAAAGTCAAAGTCAAACGCGAAGCAATTTTGTCTGCTGGCGCTATCAACTCGCCACAGATCCTCCTCCTCTCAGGAATCGGACCAAAACAAGAACTGAAAAAAGTTAACATAACCCAAGTCCACAACCTTCCAGGAGTTGGCAAAAACTTTCAGAATCACGTCTCTTTTGGTGTGAGGTTTGAGTTGCAATCGATGAAGGATGTAAATGATCTTGATGGACTAGCTCTCGGTCACTATTTAGTGTACAGGAATGGACCCATGTCTTCTACCGGGATGGCGCAAGTTACAGCCAGACTGACTACTCAATATGGAAATTCGTCTGAAGTTAATCCCGACTTGCAATTTTTTTTTGAAGGATTTTTGGCTAACTGTTCTAGGTGGGGTGTGGTTGGAGAAAATGCACATTTGGGCACTTATAACAGTAAAAAAGCGATTTTAATATCGCCTGTTGTGTTACGTCCAAAAAGTAGAGGCTACATAGGTCTGAAAACAAATAGGCCACTGGACCCTCCCCTTATGCGTCCTAACTATTTAACAGATGAATATGATATTAAAATTTTAATCGAAGGAGTTCGAATCGCTCAGAAACTCAGCAAGAGCAAAATTCTCAGGACCAAATACGGTATTAAACTAGCGCGGGAGGATTATGGAAATTGTGCCAAACAATTTAAGTAAGTTCCGAATTAATGTTTACAATGCACTTATTAACTAACGGGCCAATTTCAAGTTGGATTTATAATTTCGCAAGTCCCCGTTGCCATGGAAGATGCGATGACAGCAGTCGCGAGGATGAATCAAATCGCATCGAAATTACCATAGCAACGGGACTTGCGATTTCGCAAATCCAACTTGAAATTACCCCCTTTAAGGGTAATGCCGTTGCTATGGTAATTTCGATGAGAGTTGTTGCAATTCGCGATTTGATTCGTCCTCGCGACTGCTGTCATCGCATCTTCCATGGCAACGGGGACTTGCGAAATCGTAAATCCAACTTGAAATTGGCTTGTAAGTTATTTGTTTACTGTACTTTGTGTATTTACGGCGTGTGCTGCTGCAGAAATATGAATTTCTACAATTTTTCTTTTTTTTTTAATTATTTATGTGAAAATATAGATAAAACACATTCCTGTCACAGATAGTGTATTTTTATACACCGCAGCAAAATACTTATTACTTTAATTACTTGTAACATGAAACTTCTAAATGTTTTTTTAATTAGTGATTGTCTAAGGTAAGTATGTAATGACGTCACAATTTTGTCGTTGCAAACTGGAAAAATTTCCCCTGTTTAAAATATTTTATTAGTTTAGCGAACAATAAAGCAATTTACCTTCACGAAATATTTGCATACCAACTTTGAAACCAAGTATGAATCGTTGAATTCACCACATTTTTGTGCATAAAAATAAATGACGTAATACGTTTTTTTCTTGGATTCGTATTTGCAGCAGCTGGAAATACTGGTTAGGTATGTAATGTGAGTTGCCTAGGTTCATTCAGTGAAATTTTTACTAGCATAGAACCCAATAGATACATACAAATATAATTATATAGGTACCGCGTGATCAGTTTATTGGCAATCCTGGATTATTAGTTGAAATTGGTATCATGTGTTTTCAATAATTTCCGATTGTCAGCTGTGAAAATTGACAGATTGTTGACATTTTTCATTTGCAAAATATATTTTAGATATAACCTAAATTTATCGCGATTGACGTATCTGTCATACAGTTATGCCAACATAAACGCAGGAAAAATTTACACTTTTGTTTAAAAAATACTACCAACAGACTTAGTCATTTCTGATCACACGGTATATGTGAAATTAAATAAAAAAAACTTACCGTTCTCCTCAACAGAATTATTTACTGACTTATATCAAATTGAATGTTACATTTTATGATATTATGTTATGTAAAAGCAGTAGTTACCTTAAAACAAGCTATCTTATTCTCAGTATTTTATCTTACAATGTTTCTCTATTGATTTATGTTTCCGAAAAAGTCAAAACCGCCCCAGTAATACATACAAGCATCCACCAACTCGTTTAAAAAATGGTCGAAGGTTATTTCTACAGAAGTTCCCTCGCCCTTGAAATACAGCACAACAAATCCTGTTTCTTTGAAAAATTATAAATATTGTTTGCGATTTTTGTTTTCTGATGAACTCTACAAAGTTAAAACCAGTGGTGTAAACAACAGTCCCGCAACTTTTTGACTTGAATTTTTCAATTCTTCAGTTTTTTAATCTTCCAATTTTTGAGTTTTTTTCAATTTTTATATTTTGCAATTTTTTGATTTAAAATTTCTCGAGTCTTGAAATTTAAATTTTTCAGTTTTTCGATTCTCTAATTTTTTATTTCTTCAAATTTTCGATTCGGTTGTTATATTCTTTATTTTTACAATTTTTCAAGTTTTTATTTTTTTGTTTCTTCAAATTTGCGATATATGTCTCTTCAAGTTTTCATTGTTACATTTTTCAGTTTGTCAATTTTCCAACTTTTGGATATTCCAGTTTTTCGATTTGCAATTTTTCGTCTAAATTTTTTTTTCTTTATTTTTTTCAATTTTTTCTCAATGTGAAATTTTTCAATTTTTCGATTTTTCAGTTTACGATTTGAAATTTTTCTGTTTAATTTTTGGTTGTTCAACTTGTTTATCTGTTAATTTTTCTTTTTTCAATTTTTGATCTGCGACTTTTTTAGTTTTCATTTTAAATATGTAGTAATAATTATAAGGATTTTAAAACTTTTTTATATATTCGATTTTACAGTTTTTCAACTTTACAATTTTGACTATTTCATAATTTTTCGGTTTTACAATTTGTGGGTTTTCCAATCTGAAATATTTACAATTAAAGGTTTCAGAAAATCAAAGAATTGAGAAGTAAAAGATTGAAAAATTGATTAAAAGAAAAATTAAAAAATCGAAAGAAACATTGAAAAAGTAGAGGAAATAAAACCACGAAAAACTGTGATATAAAATCAAGAAAATGAAAATTAAAAAATTGAGAAAATGCAAAGTAAAAATCAAGAAGTTGAAAAAACGGAAAATTTGAAAGTCGGGAGTTTGAAAATTGAAAAGATTAAAGTTGAAAAATGAAAAAATTGAACAAAGAAAAAAAAAAGAAAAATTGTGACATCAAAAAATGGGTGAAGGTAAATAAATCCAGATTATTTGAAAAAGATTCGATTGTGCGAATTTTATTTTTTTTGTGATAATTCTTACAATACAAAATAAAGATGTGTTTGTAATGTTAAAATAAATATAGAAAAATTACAAGGACACATTGATCAGTTTAGATAGATGCAGTGTAATATAATAACAGTATTGTATTTCCAAATTTTTGATAAAATGGAATGGAGTGAGAATGGTTTTAATCCGTACAATAAATTGCCCCTTTTATTATTTTTTTTTAAGTCAACCTGTGTAAGTAATTCTAAAATCTATGAGTGCATTGATAGACCAGAATTATATAGAGTCATATTTTTTTTGCATATTTCAGAGAGGATTTATTTGGCAAAATTTTAAGATGATGTTATCAATTTTTAGAAAGGGATAAACGAATAAATTTTCATTAACGGTTACCATGACTACGATAATCTTAAAACGTTTTCAAGATTTCACAGTATTCGGTATTGAAGTTTTAAAGCTAAATTGCAAAATGTTGTGATGGAATTTTGACTTTTTTTTCCAAAAATTTGGATGTTTAGGGTGAAAATTAAACACGGGTTCATAAACCACGTGTAAAGATTATTTTATTTATAAAATTGAAATAATATTTACCAATATAAAATTTGGAAATGACGTCATTCCATTGTTGGTGGGGAAGACAGACAAATTTTGGTTAGCATAGTAAAAAACACATTGTTTTAGATTGAAAAATTTAGCCGCTTGTAAAAATAAGGTCCTTACTTAAAATTGTATGATTACAATCAATTTTAAATCAGTCACAAAAATGTTCAAGGTGGCCACTAATTTGCTGTAAATGGAGCGTAACCCTTCTAGGTATATTCTCGGACATATTTTGAAGCATTTATTTATTCATACTATTACATTAGCTCATAATTTCTTCAGTTCGTTGCGTATTATTCTTTTAAAAACTTTATTTTTCTAGAACCAACAAAAAATCAAGTGGCGTTAAATCAGGACGTCGTGCAGGACACGCAACTAATAATAATCAGGTTATATTTATTGCTTGATCTTCAGTTATGACATGCACATGACAAACTCATTCTCATTACCATTTGGAAATTTATATCTTTCAGTGAATCTATATTTCCAATACCCATTTATCATATCGTGCCCTACTACAAATTTGTTCCCTGTTGAGTGGTTCATCACAAATATCAGAAATATCCTTCGCAATCTTTCGTGTCTTTTGTTCTTTCAAGACTAATACTCCTTACGGATTTCCCATTAAATTGTTCCACATCAGCAGCTTACCCCCCAAATTCTCTTTACAGACTTTTAATAATAAGTTCTTTGTAGATGTCCATGTTTTTCTAAAAATTATTTATTATCTACATTGAAGCATGATTGTTTTGTTGGTGTTCATTTAATTTGTTTCTGTATCTATATTATATTGACTGTGATTTCTAAATTCCGTCTTACATTGGTAAAGTTTGTATAATGTTTTACAATTTCATGGAATCTTTCAAAACTCTGATTTACGAGTATCATGACATTCGAAGAGGTCTGATTTATCCATTTTAAATTTTCTCTCTTCCGTATTGTAACTTTAGTACTTAACACGTAGCAGATATACATATTGTGTGTCTTATTGACTATATTTTTAGATACAATTCTGACCAATTTTGGGAGTGTGCTATCAGATACTCAACCCGACCAGAAAACCATCAATCTAGTTCCTGCAAAATGGGTCCCTCTTCCGATCGTCTGGCTGTTGTAGATCCAATGTTACAGCTTCATGGAATAGAAGGAATTCGAGTCATAGATGCTTCAATTATGCCATTTGTGGTTTCTGGTAATCCACATGGAACGATTGTTATGATCGCTGAAAAGGGAGCACAATTCATCAAAGAAAAATGGTTGAATAACTTGTAACTAGCTAGTAGTAATTCTTTTGTAGAAATTAAATTATGGCAATAAAAAATGACAGCATCCAGGTACCTCTCTTCGCAATATATTTACATTTTAATACATTCGTATTTTCTGGAAACCTCTTTAGTACCACGTTTTATTACTCTAGATTATAGATATATGTGTATTAATTTCGAAGGTTTGCACGGTGGGAATCAATACATGATCGTTTTCCGGGTTGGAACCGTGTAAATTGAGTTTTTGGGCTCAACGTTTCGCACACTTTCGTAAGTGGCATCTTCAGGAGCAGGGTCAAGAATAAGGCCAAAGAGCACGGTAACTCAGTATTAGGCTCCGGATCTTAGATTTTTTGCCTTTTTATATCTATTTCAGGCATTGCAGCGAAATTTATATATTTATCCGAATTTAAAAAAATCTGTTTATTTAACGCCCATTTATTACTACCTAAAATGCCTAATTTACCGTTAGAGACGTAAAGTGTTAATTAAACGACCTAATTGTAAATTTTAAGAGTCTTAAAATAGGATTCCATGACCAACGAAGCGGACGTGCTTGCACAATCGAGATTTTCCATGAATTCATTGCTTTGACTGGCAGATTGTTTAAAAATGGGTTGTAAACCACGCCCTTTAGTTTAATGGTAGGGGTTGCTGTCGCCAACTGACAACGCTGGCCTGCATTTCATTCAGATTATAGCCGGAAGGACGTGAATCTCTGAAAATAGTATATTGTTTTATAAGGAGCAAAAATGAGACTTTTCGTGGCGAATCTGTACGTTTGACGGCCGAGCGCGCGAGGCCGGCAATTACAGATGAGCCACGAAAAGTCATTTTTCTCCGTATAAAACATGCTATTTTTTCTTCAAACGTGAAACTGGATCCAATTTATTGGACATGAAAATGTTGAAATCTAAGAAATTGTGACAAAAATCACTTAGAACTGATTCTTAAAGCACTAATACGATAACCAACTTGTATTCTAAGGTCTAAAACATTCAGACACTTGATCATAAATCATAATCACCAAACAGGTAGGTACCTACCCCTCACTTTTTCTGCCGCTGATGACCGGCAGAAAAAATGCGAAAACAGCCTAGGCAGAAAAATTGGAGTCACTATACTCTATAACTGTGTGATTTTTTTCTTTCAGTGTCGATATAGTTTTTCACTTTGATGTGAAAATAGGTCAGTGGCAAATTTACTCACCGAGAGGCCTTTTCTTCTTGTTTAATATTCCAATTCCAGCCAGTGTTGCCAACCTTTGTAATGGCGAATTCCCTACATGGACGATAAAAATTCCCTTTTCAGCCTCAAAATTCTCTTTTGCATATAGGTACCTACCTATTACTACCATTACAAATTGATAAAATTTCTCTCGGATCAAGAAAACACTTAATCTATTAATTTCCTCCCCAAAAACAACGCTCCTTTCTTTTTAACTTCTTTTAATAATAATAATATAGTAAACAAACACTATAATTTCAAAATTGACAAGACAAAGTAACAAAAATATAGTTCTATAATTACAGTACAAATAAAGGACAAAAATCCAGCCTCTTTATCAGTGTTTAAATGAATACATTGCAACATTATGTAACTGGATGGCCTTGTGTTATTGGATACTTAACAACATCCAGTTCTGTTGCCTGCAAAAAGCTCCTAAAAACAGCAACAGCGTTTAAAGAACTCTCCCCAATCCTGTTTATTTTTTTGGTCTTGTCAATGACAAGTTGACCTACGTTTTACATTTAGTACATTTTGTCTACTCTTGACCTCAACACACAACCAAGACCTACCAAACTATGTTGCTCTTTTCTAAGCTGAAAAAATAATGATTTATCAATTTTCACATCTTCTTTGCTGCGTTGTCAGCGTACTTAAGAATGCTTCTAAAAATTCCCCAAAATTGCCGACTTTTGTCAAAAAATTCCCTTTTTCCCTTTCTTATCCTAAAATTCCCTTAAAAGGGAAAATTCCCTGCAGTTGGTAACACTGATTCCAGCTATTTAAAACAACCTTCACCTAAATATGCCACCTTTAAAATCTGTAGAGGACAAGTTCTAGCAATCAAAATACCTTTGATTCCATCACGTACTCCTAGAAATACTATCATTTTACAATATTTTAAATGTTGTTACTTCGGTGAAATTTTACAAAGGGCACTTCACGATTTCACACAAACTGTTTGTGCAAAACTCTTGTACATCACCCCCTGATCACGTTCCTTACCTTCAAAAGTTGTGGAAATGCTTCTTTGTGTCACAAAAAAATATTTAGTGTTCGCCCCTTTCGCCCTATGGTTAGCACCCTATTAGTTGCGCCACATGTAGGCAACCAACTACACACATAGTTGAATTCGTACGAATTCCAATGACAATGATCCACGGAGCAAGAAGTGCCACGTTTAGGGGTATGTATGCAATGGGGCGCAGGGCGCGAAGCGCCCTGCCTTCACTAAATACCCGACGTTACATGTACGCGTGTTGTTGACTATAAAAAGTTAGGTTATGTTGGAAACGGCTTCCCATTGAAAAGTGGGAAATTTAACAATTTTTTTGTGGCAAAAGTAAGAATTTCTACAACATTTGAAGGTGAGGAACGTGTTCAGGGGGTGCTGTAGAAGAGTTGTGCGCAAACAGTTTGTGCGAAATCGTGAAGTGTCCTTTGTAAAATTTTACCTTTTTATATTATTATAAGACTTCTTGATTGCGCATGATGATTGGTTAATTTAGGTAACAGTTATAATTCGAATCTTCGGCTCTGACTCTGACCGACTGAATTGTGACAAATGACATATGACAGTTGTCTGTGATTGACATTGGCAGCACAAAACACTAGTAACAGTGAGAACATCAACATCAACACATAAGACGGCTAGGCTTAAATTTCATTGGTTGATTCAGCGGCAGCAAAAAATTTTTGCAGCCTAAGCAGAAATTTTTTTTCCTGTCAAGGCAGTGAAGTAGGACTTTGTATTTATCAATTGAGGTATGCAATGACCCGTATTTCTGACGTTTGAAGAAAAAGCATTTTATTTTAGAAGTTTATTGTTAGTGATACTGAGTGTCTTTGCGTGTTAGTGAGTGTGCTGGGGTCGGTTTTGATTTTTGTGCATACAGTAAAGAATCCTCAAAATATATGTAATTCAGCTCTGCAGGCCTTAAAGGCCCTGGGCTTTTTTAACAATAATTTTCCATTTGTTCCTGTCGGCTGCTTTGGATCTCCAATCTTCAATGCCTAAGTTTTGAAGATCTTTTCGAACATCGTCTATCCACTTCAGTTTTGGTCTTCCTCTCTTTTTCTTTCCTCCTTTTAGGCGGTCTAATACTTTCCCAATTGTCCTTTCCTCTGGTGCTCTTCAGACGTTGCCTAACCATCTTAGTCTCTGTGCTCTGATTATCTTCGTGATTGTTGGTTCTCCGTATATTTCCTCGATCTCTCGGTTTGTTCTTCTTCTCCATTGGTCTAGTTCTTTTATACCTCCATATACCTTTCGTAGTATCTTGCGTTCCCATACTTTCAACTTCTGTTCCTTTTCGTTCGTTAGCGTCCATGTTTCACTAACGTACAGGACTGTAGGTCTTACTATTGTCTTATATACTTGTTTCTTTGTTCATCGTGTTACATTCTTACTCCTCAGAAATCTGTTTAACCTTCCTACACTCTTGTTTGCTTTCGCGATCCGTTCTTCTATCTCTTCGTTCATTTCTTTTTTTGTTTGTAATTACTACTCCTAGATATTTGAACCCATTTACTTCTTCGAATTCGTATGTTGTTCCTGCTTCTGTAGTTACTTTCAGTGGTTTTGCTGGGGTTTGTTTTGTTTCCATCTTCATAAACTTCGTTTTCTCTTGGTTGATCGCTAAACCCATTCGTTTCGCTTCTCTGATTAGATTTTTTGTCATTTTCTTCATTTCTGCTTCTGTTCTCGTTATACATGTCACGTCATCTGCAAAGGCTATATTTTGGTGTCTTTTTTCGTATATCGTGCTCGTTCTGTGGATGCCACTTCTCCTTATTATTGCTTCGAGTACTAGATTGAACAGGGTAGTTGATATTGGATCTCCTTGCCGGAGTCATGTTCTTACTTGGAATGGTTCTGACAACAGACCGTTTATCCTGACTCTGTTTCTGGTGCTCTGCAGGGTCATCTTTGTCAGTTTTATTAGTTTTCTTGGGACTCCCAGTTCTTGCATGGCTTCTAGCAGTTCTTTCCTGTTAACCGTGTCATAGGCTTTTTTAAAGTCTATGAACAGCAGATATAAGTTGATTCCCTGTTCGTAATGTACTTCTTGTAGTTGCTTCAATATAAATATCTGGTCTACAGTAGATCTATTTTTCCTAAACCCTGCTTGATATTCTCCTACTATTTTTTCCATATGCTGCTTTAGTCTTCAGTTGATGCAAGTGGCCATTACCTTATACGTTACGTCTAGCAGCGCTATTCCGCGATAATTTTCGCATTTCGTAATATCCCCTTTTTTAAATATCGGGCAAAGTACTGCTTCACTCCATTGTTCTGGCATTTTTCCTTCCTTCCAACATTCTAGCACTAGTCGATGTATCTCTGATGCTACTGCTTCTCCTCCGTACTTTAGCATCTCGCCCTTTATTCCGTTTCTACCAGGACTTTTGTTGTTTTTCATCTGCCTTAGTGTTTCTCTGATCTCTCCTTCGTCAATTTCTATTGTTTCATCTGGGTCATCCGAGTCGTTCACTCTTTCGTTCGTATCTTGCTGTGTAACCTGTTCGTTTAGCAGCTGTTCAAAGTATTCTGCCCATCGTTTTATTCTTGCTTGTTCGTCTCCTATCAGGTTGCCGTCCTTGTCTTTACAATATATTGCTCGTGGTTGATAGCCTCTTTTCTCTTTTTTCACGTCCTGATAGAAGTTCCTTATTTCATTCTTATTGAAGTTTTCTTCTATTTGTCGTATTTGTTCTTCCATCTTTGCTCGTTTCTTATTTCTGCATATCTTCTTGTACTCTTTCCTTTTTTCTTGGTAATCTTTTTGGTTCTTCTCATTTTTTGATTTTAGATATTTCTGTCTGGCTGACCTCCCCGCTTCTATTGCTTTTCTACATTCCTCGTCAAACCATTCGTTTCTATTTTTGTTGTCTTTTTTGACGAACCCTAGTACTTCTTCCGAGGTCTTCCATATGTTCTCTTGTAGTTCTTCCCACCTCTCTTCTATAGGTATGTCTTACTCTGTTGATCTTATTCTCTCATTCATCTTTTGTTCGTATTCCTGTTGTACTTCAGCTTTCTTAAGTTTGTTTACATTTATATCACGTTGCGTCTTCTTTCCTTCTTTTTTCTTCGGTATTTCTTGTTTGAGGTCTGCTCTTACTAGAAAGTGGTCTGAATTCGCTTCTGCTCCCCTGTAGCTTCTTAACCTGGTTATTAGTTGGTTCACATCCGAAGTAATAACTAACCTGCGTGTTAAATCGTCAATGTATAAACAATTTAAAAGGACTAAAGATCAACACCATTTCAATTTATTTAAAACTCAGCGTGCTTTCTGTAAAAAACTTATTAGTGAAGCATATAAAGCATACTTGTGTTCTGCTGAGAACTCATTATCTAATGATCCTAAAAAATTATGGAGTTTTATAAATAATAAAAAAGGATCGACACGTATTCCAGGTTTACTATATCATGATAACATCGAGATTTCAGATCCTCTTGAAATAGTTAATGCTTTCGGCCGTTACTTTAATAGTGTTTTTATTCCTCCGTCTCCTCTTGCTGCTGACAGCATGTCTGTACATTGCAACCCCGGATCGTCGATAATCTCTGTATCATATTTCCATATCTGATGTAGTAACACACTTGCAACAATCCAAAAACTCGTTAACATCGGGAATTGACAATGTTCCTAGTTTTATACTTAGAGACTGCGCTCATGTCCTTGTTGATCCTCTTTATACTATTTTTACTTTAATTTTGCAACGTTCAGAGTTTCCTGGTATTTGGAAAAAAGTCATGATTTGTCCAATTTTCAAAAAAGGTAAAGCTAATCAAATTTCGAATTACAGACCTATATCCTTGCTTTGCAATTTTGTGAAAACTTTTGAATCAATTTTATATAAATACATCTACAGTTCAATTAAACATATAATATCTCCTTACCAGCATGGATTTATGTTAAACCGTTCAACTGTCTCCAACTTAACAGTATTTTCACAGTTCGTCTCAGAAACGCTCGATGCCAAAGGACAAGTTGATTGTATATATACCGACTTTTCCAAGGCATTTGATCAAATCGATCACCATATACTATTACAAAAGCTTCGTATTCTAGGTTTTTCTGATTCTTTACTAAAATTATTTTTGTCTTACCTCTCTAATCGTGAATTTAGGGTCAGATATCGTAACTTCACGTCCTCTGCTTTTTCTCCCACATCTGGGATACCCCAAGGGTCTAACCTGGGGCCGTTGATTTTTCTTTTATTTATTAATGACCTTGCAGATGTGGTATTGTGTGACAAATTAATGTTTGCCGATGATTTTAAACTTTATTCGAAAATTGAGTCTTTATATGATTGTGCATTACTTTAACGAAATATCGAAAATATTGTGCAGTGGTGTCTGGAAAATCATCTGTCTCTGAATAAAAGCAAATGTAATGTAGTATCTTATTCAAGAAAACACATAAATATTATTTACGAGTATAACATTAATGGTTCCACTATTGAGAGATGTCATACAGTCAAAGATTTAGGTATAATATTTGATAGTAAACTCACCTTCGTGCAACACATTCATGCGTCTATTGGTGCTGCACTTAGAACCTATGGCTTTATATATAGGAACTGCAGCAATTTTTGTAATATTAGAACACTTAAAATATTGTTTTGTTCCTTGATTAGGTCGAAGTTGGAGTATGGTACTTTAATTTGGTATCCGATTTATGAAATACATTGCCGTCATTTAGAATCTGTTCAAAGACGATTCCTCAAATTTTTAGTATATTTGGAGGATGGTGTTTATCCCCCTCAAGGTTATGAACACTCCCTGTTACTTTCTCGTTTTAATTGTTTGTCTTTGGCTGTACGACGAAAAGTAATAGCGGTCAGATTTTTATATAATTTATTTCACAATAAAGTAGACTGCATTGATATTCTAAATAGATTTAATATACTTGTACCTAGACTTAATTCTCGTCAACAAGTTCTGTTTTATATTGATTCTAGCCGTACAAACGTCTCAGTTCGCACTCCAGTGTCGGTTATGTGTAATTTATTCAACAAAATTGCACATTTATGTGATATTAATTTTGATTCTAGTGTTAGTATTTGTAATTGCATCGTTAATTTGGGTTAATGTTTAATTAGCTGTAGATACTTTTGTCTTTTCAATATTTATACCTTTTTAGTTACTGTCATGAATTAGTTTAGTTAGTTTGATATTATTCCTGTAATTGGGTGTTACCTGTACGAATAAATATTATTATTATTATTATTATTAATATTATTATTATTAGTTGGGCATCTCTCCTTTCTACCAGTATGTGGTCTATTTGGTTGACCGTTTTTCCGTCAGGCGACATCCATGTGCCTTTGTAGATCTCTTTCTGCGCAAAGAAGGTTCTTTTGACTACCATTTTATTTTCTTCTGCAAACTCTATCAGTTTTTCTCCATTTTGATTCGTTTTTTGGTGTTTGCTTTCTTTCCCGATTGTTGGCCTGTAGCAATTCTCTTTACCTATCATTGCGTTGGCGTCTCCTATAACCATTTTAATGTCATGCTTTGGTATTTTCACATATCCTCTTTCTAGTTCTTCGTAATATTCTGTTTTTACTTCTAGATCTTTCTCTTCAGTCGGTGCATGTATATTCAGTAGGCTTATTTTCCTGTACTTACTTCTCAATCTTATATAGCTCAGTCTTTCTGAGATTGGTTTGAAGGTAATTACTGCTCCTTTAAGGCTCTTCTCCACCATGAATCCTGTTCCTAGTTCTTTGTTGTCAATTCCGCTATTAAATAATATGTAGTTGCCTATTTCAGTGATGAATTTGCCTTTTTGTTTCGTCTCTTGTATAGCTGGTAGATCTATATTATACCTTTGTAATTCTTGAACTATTTGTTTCAGTTTTCCTTCGCTATATGTTCCTCGAACATTCCATGTTCCTATTCTAATTTTCGGGTTTTTCTTTCTCTTCGTAATTCCTTTCGGGTCATACATGAGCTTTGCATACGTCGTCTTTGTTTTCCGGTGTGTGGTTTCTTCCTCTGTTAGTTTTTTGGATTTTCTTTGGGGTTCTTAGGTGCTTTCACTAATTTGTCTAATTTAGTGTCCCAATGCCAGACTTCTCCTGCCCATATCATCTTTTTGTACCCTACTTTTGCCTCGACTCCTTTCCCTTTTTCTGCTGCTGCTATTCCTCTTATTTTCTTCTGTATCTCGCTCTCTTGTTTGGTGTAATCGTCTTCAATAAACGTTTTTGATCCTTTTAATTTGTTCTTCTGTTTCATGATTGCTCTTTTTGTGTCCCAGTTCTCTATCTTTGCTACTACTATGTCGTATTTTCCGCTGACTAATCTTGCGTCTTGTACCTTAGTTTGGATTCCTACCTTATTTTTTAGGAGTTCTTCAACCTCTGCTGTTATTTCGCTTCCTTGTAGTTTCCCTCCTTTGATTACGATGTTGTTTCTCCTTTCTGCTTTTTCCAGTTTTTCTAAGTGTTGCTCCACTCTTTCTAATCTTTCGGTCAGTCTTTGGCTTTCTTCTCTTAGTGTTGTTACTTCTGTTTGGTATGCTCTTTGGTCTCTTTTCATTTCTGCGATTTCCTCCATTAACGTTTTGAACATATTCTTTACTTCCTCCATGTCTCCTGCTTGTACCCTCTTCTGCTTCCTCTGTACTCTTTGACCTTCCGGTGATGGTGAAAAGGAGGTTTCTCTTTTTCGTTTCTGCTTGTCTTGTTCTTCTATTGCTAGTTTGTGTCCTTTTTCCGGTTCAGGATTCCCGTTTAGCATTCCCTGGCCGACTTTCTTGCTTCCTGTGTATTTAGTACGTTCCTGTGTTGTTTACTTCGCGCCGCGATAAGAACTGTCACCCAGACTATCTCTTCGGAGGTTAGGTTCTTTTAATTCCACACTTTCCCGAATAATTGCTGTCCTTACACTTCTTGGTGGTTCTTACTCTTATTCCACTTCACTTCTTTGTTTTCTACTACTTCTCTTTCGCTTTTGACGCTCGATATCTCTCGATTTTCGAGTTTGGATTTCGGAGCGTGTTCTGCTTATCGTAGTCAGGACCGTACTCGAATCCTCAAAATGCCTAAGGTAAAATCATCCAGGAAAGATAAAATCAAATTATGGTTAGGGAATAATTTGGACACTAATTTTCAATTTCCTTCTCAACCAAAGACAATGAGTTATTCTGCAAAGTGTGTGGAAAAGTTGTAAGTAAACATTTAAAATACTGAAGCTTGAATTATGTTCACATTTTTGTTTCCTAGTTTAAGTGCGAAAAAAAAATCACACTTTGAACAACACTGCACTGGCGATGCACATAAAAAGAACGAGAATAAATCCAGTAAACAGACTTTATTAAACATTAGTTCCGACAATGATTTTACGCAATTTTGCACCGATTTATGTAGGGCATTTACTGCAGCAAATATTCCATGGAATAAAGTTAGTTGTTCTGAGTTTAAAAATTTTATGCATAAATATACAGGAAGGCATTTACCCTTAGAAAACACTATGAGAAAAAAATATTTACCAAAAGATTACAATATGGTGACCACTAGAATTTTTATTTAAACACTTTTTAACATATATTTTATAATTTACAGGTAATTAAACAAATTAAAAATTCTATTGGCAATAATAATATTTGGATTAGCGTCGATGAGACGACGGACAGATTAGGAAGATACATAGCCCATTTAGTAATTGGAAAGTTATCTTCTGAAGAATCTTTTCAAATTTTCAGCAATCGTCATTTTTCAGAATAAAGAAGTAGAAAAGTAAAACGTTAAAGAAACCAAAGATTCTGTTTGACAAATAATTTTGGTGACAAATTTCAAAATTTTACTTAAAATTTCTACAGCATACTCAAAATTTGGTGATTTTTTCTCACACAAAGTGCATAAGATCGAAAGAGAAAAAGCTTTACGTGGGGTGTTTCCACCATCATACTAAGGTAGCTTGGATCGCTGTATGATCAAAAATTTTTTAAACACCAAAATTTAATAATTTGGGAGAGCTTTACAAAAAAAGGTGTGTATTTGTAAACAATAAACAACTACTCAAAGTTTTCAGCTTTCTACAAATAAGTTCATCTACAGGTTTGCCTTAAAAATTGTCTCGTAAGAACCGTTGTCAGTATCATAATACATTACATGCGGTTTCTAATAATAAATAAGTGGAGTACCACTTAATAACAATCTCAATTTTAAAATAATTTGACCACATAAATTTATACGAGTACCTAATAAATATTTGTGTACAAATTATTTGTAGTGCCACATAATCCTCTTGGCATGTTTTCTATAGACATATGATTAACAGTTTTGAAACAAAAAGTATATTCCACAAAACGTTTGCTTGGAGATAAAATTCGTTGTTAAAGTACCTGGTAACAGTTACCACAACCTCACTGATTAGTCCTGTTAAGAATCAAAGCAATTCCACTAGAGGTCTGATCGATAAAATTTCTAAAATTACACTTCAGATTTCGAGGCACCGATTTAAAATCTGTAGTCAGCATGATCAGCGCATAGTTTTTAAAATGAATTGCGGATGTGCGGCACCCTACATCGGTCCCTCTGTTGGTGACTTGTGTTACGGCGGCACCCACATTCTGTTCTTGAGGCTCATCAACACCCTAGTACAAAATAAGTGCGACATAGGAGAAATTTGCCAAAGAGTTACCCCAAAAACACAACCTGATACTGATTACGACTTCGTGGTAATCGGAGGAGGTGCTGCTGGATCGGTAGTTGCAGGAAGACTGTCTGAAAACCCAGCATGGAAAGTTCTGCTTATCGAAGCTGGAAACGATGAACCCCCGGGAACGCAAGTACCATCGTTGTGGACCAATTATATCAGGAGACCAGGCTTAGACTGGGAATATAGTACCGAACCGCAAGAATTTGCTTGTCTTGGTAGTAATGAGCAAAGGTGCACTTGGGTACGAACTAAGATGCTGGGTGGATGTGGGGCGATTAATGGAATGATGTATATGAGAGGTGTTACTAAAGATTATGATGGTTGGGAAGCTTTAGGGAATACTGGATGGGGATATGACGATGTTATTGACTACTTTAAGAAGTCGGAAGATAATCACCAGGTTGGTACTCTCGTGAGTGAAGAGATACATGGGACTGGTGGCCCTATGGCCATAGCCAGATTTCCAGATCATCCAGAGATGGCCGATGACGTCCTTGAGGCTGTACAAGAACTGGGATATCCGGTTGTTGACGATATCAACGATGGCAATTTTACTGGATTTACGATTGTCCAGGCTGCAAACCTGTAAGTACCTGTTTTTCAGTACTCGTTAACAATTTGATTGTCAACGTTAAAAAAACGCATTAAAGAATGTTGTATTTTATGTTTAAGAGGTGTTGATAAAAATCAAAACACACATATTTTGATTTATCTTTTATAAGTGTCACTTATCTTTTGCGTTTATTTGTTTGGAACAGATTGAACTATTTAATACAAAGATTATTAATTATTATTATTTTATTTGCAGAAATGGTACAAGAGTTAGTAGTGCTCGAGCCTTCTTACGTCCTGCTCGCGGTCGTTCGAACTTACACGTAATGCTAAATTCAACAGCAACAAAAGTACTAATAGACACCACAGGAGATCAAAAAACAATATCAGCAGTAGAATTCACCTACGAGGAAACTACTTTCAGAGTCAACGTAAATCGAGAAGCCATAATTTCTGGTGGGACCGTAAACTCAGCACAAATACTACTATTATCTGGAATAGGTCCAAAAGACGAACTAGACAAAGTTGGTATTGAACAAGTCCATGACTTACCCGGCGTCGGCCAAAACTTACATAATCACGTTGCTTTTGGCATAAGCTTCAATCTAAACACCTTGGAGGATACTAATGATCTTAACTGGTTAACTGCTCTTCACTATTTAACAAATAGAGACGGACCCATGTCTTCTACCGCCATGTCCCAAGTTACTGGACGACTCACTTCGAAATATGGCGATCCAGCTGGCGATAATCCAGATACGCAATTCTTCTTCGGTGGATTTTTAGCCAGCTGTTGTAGAACGTGCACTGTGGGTGAACTAGCAAACCCGGATTATCCAGAAAGTCATAAAGTTTTCTCCATTACGGTTGACAATATTAAACCCAAAAGTAGAGGTTATATAGGGTTGCATACCAACAACCCATTAGATGCTCCTCTGATGCAACCTAACTACCTTGCCGAACCTGACGACGTGAAGATTATTATTGACGGAATTCGAGTTGCCCAAAGTATCGGTAATACAACTTTTTTAAAGGAAAAATATGATATCGAATTTATAAAAGAAACTTATGGCGACTGTGAAGAACAAAACACGTAAGATATATTGCGGAATTGTTATTGAGTGATTTAAATGATGTTTTTAGTTTTGATTCTGACGAATTCTGGGAGTGTGCAATAAGATACTCCACCGGTCCTGAGAGTCATCAGTCTGGTTCCTGTAAAATGGGTCCAGCATCCGATCCTTTGGCAGTGGTCGATCCTGAATTGCAAGTTTATGGAATAGAAGGGCTTCGAGTAGCAGACGCTTCTGTAATGCCGGTTGTTACTTCTGGAAATCCCCATGCGACTGTAGTGATGATAGGAGAAAGAGCAGCAGATTTTATCAAACAAAAGCAATCAGTCATTCAAAAATAGTTTCGATACTAAAATTTTTGTTATTATAATTAGAATACTTTACGTTTTAAAAGTTGTGCTATGTTTTTATACTTAATTGAAAACTGTCAGGGTATTATCTTTGTATACTGAATAATAAACTATGCATTCTGATTTTTTTTATTTCATCGAAACTTTCCCACTACCTAGACGAAAAGGACCACTGCTAGGTATTCTACATTTTTTTACCGAACCAAATATAGTATTCAAGTCCATCAGAAGAATTGCTATTTTCATATTTTCTCGATGTTCCATGACCCCTATAGTACGGAAAAATTGATCTCCCGTTTCCGTCTGGTTGTTAACTGTCTTTAATTAGACACGTAATCTCCGAAACTGCTGGACCAATTGTCTGAAAGCCCCATCTCAAAATTTTAAAAAGTAAACGTTATTCAAATAAAATAACATAGTTTCATGCTTGTGATTTACCAAGCCGCCTTTATTTTTACTACCCGATCATACGTTAAGGAAGTATCGCACTAGGGTCCATCCGATGAATGTCATGACCACTACAGTATGAAACAATAGGTCCTCCGTTGCCGTCTGTGTGTCTATCTATCCATCCATCTGTCTGCCGTCTGTCAAGATTTATATTATACAGATAATCCGAAACTATCGAACCGACTCTGGTCAAATTTTAGATACATGTTATAAATATCTAATCACACCCACGAACGATAGGATGACGTCATCTCCAGAATTGACAATAGTAAATGTTATTTATTAACGGTATTTGTGGTTTATGAATCTGTGTTGAATTTTTATCCTAGATATTCATTTATAACAATATTTCGAATATCGAATGCTTTGAAATCTTGCAAAGGATTTAAAGTTATCGTATTAAGCATGGTAAATCGTAATAGAAACTTATCTCCCCTCTCCGCCCAAATTGATGACGTCATCGCCAATTTTTTTCCGATATATCTAATTGAAAATATCCAAAATAGTTTGAGTCTATTCTCGTGGTCTCTCAGTTATATTTTAGAACTGCTTCTAGTTACATCCAGGTTTTCGTAAAAAAAAATCAAAACATCCTTTTACCATTTAATTTTGAAACTGCAAAATCGATGATCATGAAACTTTTTCTTTGTTTGTGTCCCACTAAAAGATGCTGACGTCATTTTACACTTTTTGTGATAAAAAAAATAATTGTTTTAATTTAATTTTAAAGTAGCAATTGGTTGTCTCGGGGATAGATGATTTACACCTTCTTTGCAATTTTGCAAGTAGTGTAATTGTTGATAAGACTAATTCACCTGCAGACTAGCTCTCCTAACAAGGAAATATAAATCGTAATTAGCCCCATATCAACCCCGACGACTTAAAACCGAATTCATGATTTTTTTATATTCAAGATTTTAGTAAAATTGGCAAATCAAAAAAAAATCAAAAACTCATTCAAATCAAACAAATTTCAACGTGATATAAACACTCGAAGTTAAACATAGTATTATTGCTGAGAGGACATTTTTTTCCGTTGATTATCTGTTTTAAATATATTTTGCTTTGTCGGTATTTGTTCGGCGTCCTTAGAATTGGCGTTTCCATGGCCCGGGGACTACGGGGGTGTTATTTATGCCACTGGTGTTGTACTTTATAGAGGTTATCACAAGACGAAAATTGCAAAATCAAATTTTATATATTTTTTATTTTACTAAATGAACCAAACTTGTGGAAACCGTCGACTCACTACTGGCATCTTATATCTCGCTATCGCTACTGTTAACTCTAATCATTTGAAAATAATTAATCCAAAGAACCAACTAGCGCCTTTATTGAACAATGACAACAAATTATTGGATAATATCTGAAATTCAATTCCTCTCTAAATTTAAATTTTTTTAAAATGAGTACACGATTTTTGTCTAAAAAGCTATGTAAAACACAAAGAATCTATTTTTAATGAAGACACCACAATTACGAATATAAATCCATTCGGTACCACTTTAGCGAGTTAAATCTCGATGACGTGTATTGCGTTTTATGATAGGAATTTTATAATCTCATTAATAAGTGTCATAACCGTTTGAGCACAATATTATTAGCCCAACGTGTTAGTCCTGCTCCGAAATCCAGTTCGACCACATCTTTTTCAATCAAGGAATTATGTCATTAATTTCTTTTAAATAGTTTGAGTCATCATCGATGCATCGGTTTATTGAACTAGCCACAGTTAGATAATTTTTTGTGATTTGTTAACTGTTATATTCTTCTTAAGCAAAATTACTTTTTGTTTTAAATGTTATATTAAGTGGAGTCCAACACGTCCCACAAGATTTAAATTAATCAATATTCATTCCATTGTATTTATTATTTTATGCACATTTTTTTACTATTATTGTCTTAATTCCCTTTTTCTGTCCTCCTCAAATTGTTTATTGACCGCTGACGAGCATTTAAACATTAACAAAATTATTTAGTTGGGCGTGGGCCCATTTTTTCGGAAATGGAAAGCCAAACTGCATATCTAGAAAGGTGTAATGAATGAACATCCTAACATTTTAATACTTCCACTGAAATACAAAACTACACACATGGTTAATGAAAAATGATTAAATATACGACAGGCAAAAGACTAAAATGAAATATAGGAGCAATCTTATACAACTAAAACACGAAACCTAATAATACCATTTCTAAAAATCCACTATACACAGACACAATATGGAAAATTTTTCAAGTCCAAATTTCTCCAAAATTCAGCAGAAATTTGTCACCGCTTTCACCAACCTTATTGTTTTTTTTTAATATTCCTAAATTCTCTCCAGAAGATTCACTACCAGTATTCATAGTTCTTATCTGTTACCATCTTTGAAGTGAACTGTCATTTCGTCAAAATTTTCTGAATTTTCTATTCAATAAAAACGTCCGACCACCAAAATAGCCACAGTGATTTTAAGATAAAATGCTATGTAGTAAAAGCAATACTACTATAGGTACTATACTGACCAGTTTGTCGAGATACAATTATTTAAATTATAGATCAACTCTTTCACTCGTTTAACAAAATAATAATAGATCAACATTTTAAAACGTTTATTGTAAAAATAACATAAATCAAAATTTCAAAATCAATAAAACATCTTCATTTCAAGGTTTATCTAGAAAACATTCTTTTGGAACGATTTATCTCATTACGTGCCACTTCAAACAATAATAATCGTGAACACGTTTTCTGATTACCAACACTATATAAGATAACGCACTTAATTTATATTCTCACATTTACAAAAATTAAACCACAGATAATTTTGGGTCGTACGATTTTCCTTTCGTTAAGCTGTTCAATATCTAAAATATTGTTTAAGATGAGTGAGAAAATAATATAAAAGCATCTATTAGGCAAAGAGAAAACATTTAAAGAACATCTCTAAATATTGTAAATAAAGCAAAATAATACCGACCATTATAATAAATATTTTAATTCAAGAGTATTAAGTGCATTACTTTTTAACAACAAATGATTACTAGAATCTGTAAACATATGATGAACAAGTTTAAAACAAAATATGTATTCCACAAAATGCTTACTTGAAGGGTTCTGGTTAAGGTACTGATAAATAATTAACTTAAAATTGCAGCATTAAATTATTGTCTAGTCTTGTTAACAATCAACTAAAATTCCATTAGAAGTCTGCGTGATAATTCTAAAATTACACTTCATAGATTTGGAGAAACAGATTTAAAATCTGAATCCAACACGATCAGACTATAGTCTACAAAATGAGTTGCGGTTGTGCGGCACCCTACCTCGGTCCCTCTCTTGGTGACTTGTGCTACGGTGGCACCCATATTGTGTTCTTGAGCCTCATCAATATCCTAATACAAAATCAGTGCAACATAGGAGAAATTTGCCAAAGAGTTACCCCAAAAACACAACCTGACTCTGACTACGATTTCGTGGTTATTGGAGGAGGTGCCGCTGGATCCGTGGTTGCAGGAAGACTGTCAGAAAATCCAGCATGGAAAGTTTTGCTAATAGAAGCCGGAAACGACGAACCCCCAGGAACACAAGTACCGTCGATGTTAGGTAATTTCCTGAGGAAACCGGACTTAGACTGGGGATATAAAACTGAACCCCAGGAATTTGCTTGCCTTGGCAATGAGGAACAAAGGTGTTCGTGGATGCGGGCTAAGATGCTAGGTGGCTGTGGGGCGATTAATGGAATGAAGTACATGAGAGGTACTCCTAAAGATTATGATGGATGGGGGGCTTTAGGAAATACCGGATGGGGATATGACGATGTCATGAAGTACTTTTTGATGTCGGAAGATAATCAGGAGGTTGGTACTCTGGTGAGTGAAGAGATACATGGTACTGGTGGACCTATGGTGATCGCCAGATTTCCAGATCGTCCAGAGTTAGCAGAAGATTTAATGACGGCTGCAGAAGAACTGGGATATCCGGTTGTTAATGATCTCACTGATGGGAATTTTACCGGATTTAGCATTTCCCAAACATCTAATATGTAAGTAGGTAATTCTAATAATATCATTTCCTGACGGTTCATGGTAACCAATTACAACACAGGAAGGTATAATTTAAACAATTTTTGAATTAAACGATTTTTTTAAGTATTGCGACAAAAATCCAAATCTCTGCGTAAATAAGTTAATTTACATAGCCGACAGTGGGTAGAATTTAAACCATACGAGGTCCTATGAAATGGAATATTTAAAAGATGGAAAGATCTACCGCAACGATTAGGAACATGTAGAACAATCAATAACGGATGATAACACCTTATAAATAAACAGACAATCAAACATCCATCTACCGGTCTCCAGCAGCGATAAACCGAAATAGGTTAAGATACTTTCATAGTTGTCACTAGAATAAAATATATAAAATTTAATACATACAAACTTAACAAATTTTTTCTGCATTTTCTCAATTCTGTTAATATAAATATTATAAAATGGAGACCAGATGACAATACAATATACTAAATTTGAACTTACTAAAGAATTGTAAAGTATTA